CGTTAGACCATTGACCTCGCATCCCTACAAAGCCGGGACGGAGCACGCCGGGTTCTCACCGGACCAGGGGCTGGTGGGGGAGGTTACGATTGGGGAGGTTGGGCAGAAGCGGAGGGGTCTAGGACACGACTGCGTTGTCACCCCACCACCTCAATTCAAGGGTAACAAGAGCATGTATCCTGGATGGAGGGTGGATTTTCTGCGCCATGCGGGCTCAGCAAATCTGACGGAAAATTTTGTGGGGGAGGAAGAGTTTCCAGACACCCAGAAATCCCGGAGTGAAATGCGGCGCGAGGGTTTTTCCTGGGAGATCATCGACTCGACACACCTCGCGTGGCGGCTGATAACCTCCGCCATCGTCTCCGAATCGGACAAGAACCTCATCCGACAATGCCTGACGCCCCGGGACGCCCTCAAGACTTTATAGACTCCGTACATTAACCGGAGACCCAAGGAGCGGTCCAGGACATGTCTCGAAAATTCAACGAGTACAAAACGCGGGCCGACCAGAACCCCGTAGAGGCGCTGAACGAGCTAGAATACCTCCGGGGGCAGATTTTCCAGTGTGGCAACGCCTACCTCCAAGACCCGATCGTGTTTACGCGATTCATGGACTCCCTGCCGTCCGAGTACGAGGTGACGAAGGAGACCCTAGCATCAACCACTGAACTCACAAGGGACACCCTCATCCGGGTGGCGGTTCCCCGGTTCAACAACATAGATAGCAAGAAAGCAGCGGGAGTGAAAGCAGCAAAGGCGTCAGAACAGGCCTTCCTCGCCCGCGACTGTAAGAAGGGGCAACGGAGTGGCCGTGGTAACGGACAGAACAAGGGAGAAAAAGGCGGTGGCTCCGGGGAGAACAAGAGCAACCCGAACGGAGGTGCACTCAACCATCAGCGGTGCTTCAGGTGCAACAGGAAGGGGCACTACAAACGGGACTGCGACACGGCGGAGTCCGACTTCATCCCGAGGTACGAAAAATGCTCGGTGTTAAACCACACCAAGTAAAAGTGCCCGTCGGGTGATGAAGTGGCGACGCTGGCGATCCAAATGCCCGAGAGGTTCAGCAGCCTGGAAGAAATGCTGGATGTCGAGGCCGAGGCGCTCTGAACGAAGGAAAAGGAGGGCGGGGGGGGGGGGGG